CAGCCGCTCATGCTCCGGCCGCGCGTCCCCGCTCTCTCAGGGCCGGCATCACAGAACAGCCCCCCCTCCCACCTCCTCTCCCTCAATCTCTCGCCCGCGCGTGCATGCGCGCGCGCTTTCCCCCCCTCCTCCGGCCGGGAAAGCGAGCAAAGGCGTCTCGGGCTCAGGGAAACTGGCAAGGCCTGCACAGCCTCGACGAGTGCGCGTGCGCATCTGTTCTCCACCTTCCCCGCTCCCCACAAACACTGTCTCGGAGTCTGCGCAGTAGAGACCATAACAAGCAGTCTACTCGTGCTGTCATAAGTCTTCGGATTTTCTAATTTCTCTACAGTCAGTGGATGGGCGTCGTTATATCCCCTCTGATTTTAGATGGGGCAGTTCTGAACAGTGATGTTATGTGTCATCTGAGTCGCCATGGTTCTTCAGCTAATGCGTTCTTCTTTCTGCACGTCTTTCCTCATTTATTATAGGTGAAAACAAAATAGGAAGTAAACAAAGACAAAAACGTAGTGACACCTTAAAGAGTAAGGTATTTTTTTAACGTGAGTTTTCATGGACAAGTCCACTTCATCAGACATAAGAGGAGACATAATATGGCATAACATGGCAAATATTTATGCATGGCACCAAGGTTTAAATATCAAAATATAGAGATCGTTGGTTGGCAAGAAAGTCAGTGGATGTTAAAACAATGTGGTGATAGTGTCTTTGATACACAGGTCTTTAGCAGAAGCTTGTGCTGTAAATATTGTGTTAACCTTTGCCATAGATTAACGATGGTAAAATATAAATAAATACAGTAAAGTGAATGTTAATCAGATGGGCGGTTTACAGTCATTGATTAACTTGTTTCCATGCCAGGCCCAAAGGTGGTGAAGGAGCATCTGCCGAGCCAGGCTGTAGTACAAGGAACAAGGGGGGCGAGGAAGGTGAGTGCAGGGCCTGCCTAGTCAGAAGGGAGCTCCGTCAGGGGGCTTCCCCTTACAAACTTTTCTTTGTAATCACTTGTGATCCTCTGTGACTTACCCCAGACAATGGATAATCACAAAAGCAGAATAGAAGCTGTTTTACCTTAGAAATTTCTATTAAGGGGGGAGGAAATATCTGGGAGATGTGCAATACATTACAATACTTGTAGTATTTATATCTGGTATGTTATTTGATAAGTGTGTCTAGCATGTGTATATACACATGCTTAGACACACATATCAAAGACACTATCATCACAGTGTTTAGCAGCTACTGACTTTATTACCAACCAATCAAGCAACCACAATCTCTTTATTTTGATATCTAAATCTTTATTTATTTTATTTATTTATTTTTGGACTTATCTACCGCCCCATAGCGCTACAAGCACTCTCCGGGCGGTTTACAGTTTAATTATACAGGCTACACATTGCCCCCCCAGCAAGCTGGGTACTCATTTTACTGACCTCGGAAGGATAGAAGGCTGAGTCAACCTTGAGCCGGCTACCTGGGATTTGAACCCCAGGTCGTGAGTACAGTTTGATGTCATGTATAAATATTTGCCATATTATATCTGGACGTGGTGGCGCTGCGGGCTAAACTGCAGAAGCCTGTGCTGCAGGGTCAGAAGACCAGCAGTCGTAAGATCGAATATGCGCGATGGAGTGAGCCCCCGTCGCTTTGTCCCAGCTCCTCGCCAACCTAGCAGTTCAAAAGCATGCAAATGCGAGTAGATAAATAGGTACCACCTCGGTGGGAAGGTAAAACGTCTGGCCACGTGGCAACGGAAACTGTCTTCAGACTCTACGGCTTGAAAACGGGATGAGCACCGCCCGCTAGAGTTGGACACAACTGGACTAAAAATGTCAAGGGGAACCTTTACCTTTTACCTATATTATATCTCATTCTCTTATGTCTGATGAAGTGGACTTGTCCAAGAAAGGTCACATTAAAAAAATATAAAAAATAGTGTTTAAGGTACCACCACATTTTTACCCCTTTTACTTTTTTATCTATAGTACTTGCACAGAATAACATGTCTACCCCTTCTACAACTTCCATTTATTTTACCTTGAATGATCACCAGTAATAAACTGTACTTTGTTTCTCCCAAAATGACTAAAGTGATCTGCATTTGATGTTTTTAATGGTCTGAGGAAGTGGACTTGTACACAAAAGCAATATAGCAGTTAATCTTTAAGGTACCACAATGTTTTTGTCTTTTTTAGTTTTCTTTTTTTTTTTGCCTGATAAGTTTTTAATGATTAATTAGTTTTTAGTCATTTGCCTTAATCTTTCATTGGTCAGCTTCTCGACCTATAAAATTCTTAGTATCCTGTGATTAAATGACATTTCAAGTATGTTAATCTTTTTAATAGTAGCTTGTGTTAAATTCCAGAATTCCATGCAGTATAATAGAAACAAAAATACATGGCAAAATGCAGTGGTCATTCTTAAAGCTAGTTTCAGTGTTTTGCTGTACTTCACCTTTAAAAATCTACTTCACTTCTTTTCAGTTTTTTTAATAATTTAGTTATAATCTGGTTTCTGACATACTGATATCTGCCAGTATACTCTATATTTTCATTTTGAACTTTTTGACTGTATTTCTTGTTTATTTACTAGTGACTGGGAAAAGTTTCAAAACTATCTGATTTCTCCTCCATTAGCTTTTCATTTCCAGACTTCTATCTGAATATATGGAGGTCCAGGTACTGTTTAGCTTGGAAACCTGGGCATTCTCTTGTGGCCCAACAGATGTTGAATTGCAACTACCATCAGCCCAAGTCAGCATGGCCCAAAGTGAGAAGAGTTGTGAAGAACTCTTATACATCCACTGTATTAAATAAACCACAATCTATCCCAAGTTCATGCTTGTAGTCTCATGGTGGAAGCTTGTCTCTGTTAGGGAAGAGTGGGATTCATGTCCAGATAAAGCAATCAAACAGGGAAGGCAATGACCAAAATCCTATTGCTGCTGGTTGTATCCTGGAGCAAATGCCTGACTGTGTGATTGAGAGTGCACCTAAGATTTGCAACCAGGACCATATTAATGAGCAGCAATGTGCTGCCGGGAATTACATGACTTCCCTTTATACAAGCATACATCATCAATAGGATGCTAAGTGGGCTCACAATGCTTTTTGGTCATAGATTCCTCTGTCTGGGAGCATATTTGGATTTCTTTATCTGCAGGTATGTCCAGTCAATTTATAGGTCATCATCCATTCGGCTACTGATTCTAGTTACCTATTCATGATCTCAGCACCCCGTCTTGTAGAAAGGGAGAGAAACAAGTGGATGTCCGCACCAATGACATTTTACTCATAATCTCTGGGCAGCCTCCTCCAATGATTTCATGTAGATATTCATAAGCATCTCATGAATCAGTCAGGGGATGCCGTTCCTCACAGGTGACAAGCTGCCCAGTAGACTGTGAAGTAGCAATATAAGCCAGACTAGAATGGTATGATATTTCTTGCCCTGCGTTTAAGGAGACGTACCCCTATAATTATAAAAGTAATTTTTTAAAAAGTTAGTTACACTACAAGAAAGAACAGTTATCCTTCATTAAGACCAATTTATAGGTCGTCATCCATTCGGCTACTGATTCTAGTATGATCTCAGCACCCCGTCTTGTAGAAAGGGAGAGAAACAAGTGGATGTCCGCACCAATGACATTTTACTCATAATCTCTGGGCAGCCTCCTCCAATGATTTCATGTAGATATTCATAAGCATCTCATGAATCAGTCAGGGGATGCCGTTCCTCACAGGTGACAAGCTGCCCAGTAGACTGTGAAGTAGCAATATAAGCCAGACTAGAATGGTATGATATTTCTTTCCCAGCGTTTAAGGAGATGTACCCCTATAATTATAAAAGTAATTTTTTAAAAGTTAGTTACACTACAAGAAAGAACAGTTATCCTTCATTAAGATATGCAAGGTTGTAATGTAAGGTAAAGGTAAAGGTTCCCCTTGACAATTTTTGTCCAGTCGTGTTCGACTCTAGGGGGCGGTGCTCATCCCCGTTTCAGAGCCATAGAGCCAGCGTTTTGTCCGAAGACAACCTTCCGTGGTCACATGGCCAGTGCGACTTTAGACACGGGACGCTGTTACCTTCCCACCGAGGTGGTCCCTATTTATCTACTTGCATTTGCATGCTTTCGAACCGCTAGGTTGGCGGGAGCTGGGACAAGCGACGGGCGCTCACTCCGTTGCGTGGATTCGATCTTACGACTGCTTGGTCTTCTGACCCTGCAGCACAGGCTTCTGTGGTTTA